AAAACACAAAAAACCCAGGCCCGGCTGCCAAGTTCCCAAAGTACGGGTTTCTGATCCTTTGGTGATGACACGTTGCCCCAAAGGCCTGGGACAAGGCCGCAGGCACCTTGCCTGGCCGCCCTTGTTCGCAGCCTCGTGGTGGGTGCCATCTTAGTTTCCAGCCCTGGGAACCACTGGGTCTCCCGTGGGCTCTGCTTTTGTCTCCCTTCCAACTCCGACCCGCCCTAGGCCTCCCACTGGGTTCTGGTGTCTGGGCCGAGGCGTGAGCCTTGTCCCCTGGGGGCTGGCAGGGCTGTGGTGACCATCCCAGGGCGTGATTACATGGCAACGGGAAGTTGTTTTCCCACACTTACCCCACCAGAGAGGCCCACACAAGCTGTCTTGAGCACGGGGTCTAGAAGGGCTACCTCTGAGGGCTGAAGGACATCTGCGTAAAGAATGAGCAGGCTTGGGACGTTTTCCCTGTGGAGAGAGGAGAGAGTGCTCTGAGGATGGGCCCACCTCAACAAACATCAAGTAAGCCCCTACTGTGTGCCGGGCACTGCACAGGGGGGTGCTGGGGATCCAGGGGTGAACAAGTGTCTGCCCTCTCAGATCTTACAGACTGAGGAAAGACAGACCAGCGTCTGGGCAGTGATGGTGCTGAGGGCCAGGCACCGTGATGGGAGGGAAATTCCAAGTGCTGGGGGAGCCTAGGTGAGGAGTGTCTCACCCAGTGGTGGCAGCCAGGGAGGCCATTGGAGCCTGAGTGAAGTGCATGGAGAGAAGGAGAGAGGCTCAGGGTTGAGGCTGAGGAAATCCCAGCCCAGAAGGCAGGAGGAGAAGGCAGAGAGGTCAACCAGCCATCTTCTTGCTGGTGACTTTGGCTAGCTGGTGGCTGCAGCATGTCCAGCCTATAGCGGACAGGCCTTCGACCTGCGCTGCCCACTGCCGCTCTCCCTGCCAGCCAGGAAACAGGAGATTCTAGTCCTTGGATGCTCTGCTTCTCACCCACCTCTGGCCACATCCAGATCTGGGGCTCAGGGACAAGGTCAGAGGGAGTGTGCTTCTCTAGGGCCACCTGAGATGCCACTCCAGAGGCTGATGCTCAATGTCATCAAGGGAGAAGAAAGAGATCATAGTCGGGAAATAGATCAGAGGGTCAAGACTCTGAAGAGGCCAGGCCAAAATGAGAAAATGAGTCAGGAAGCTAAAAGCCAAGAAATAAGGATGGGTTGAGGCAAGTGTTTCAGGCTAAGACCATGACTAATGCAAGGTGTGGGAAGCCCTGTGTTTTAGGGCAGCCTCGGAAGGCAGCCCAGCACGAAGGACTAGAACCCATGGCTGCTCAGGATGACTATTGTCATGGTCCAATCAGTGTTTCAATGGCCTAGACCCTTGTGTTTACCTGTATTTACCTGTGACAGGGTCAATTCCAGGCCCGGGATGACAGTGTCTGTCTCCCACACACCAACCTTCAGAGCTTGTCAAGCAGCCACTCTGCTCCAGCAAAGGGAAGATCGAGAAAAGCTTTGGGACACCAGCTCTGCCTTCAAGGTATTTGCTACCTGCTTGCAGAGAGAGCTTGTGCTCACTGGAAAGAGCGCTGGAGAAAGACCTAAGCTTGATCCCCATCTCTGTTCCTTCCCTGGTAGCTAAAGGTCTATGGGCCAATTACTTAAACTCCCTGCACCTCCATTTTCCCATCTTCGAAATGGGAATAATTAAAACCTACCTCATAGGGTTGTTATGAGAATTCAATGAGTCGAAGTGCTAAAAGTGCCAGGCACACTGCTTGACACATAATAAGTGCTCAAAAAATACTTGTTCTCTCCCTGAAACAACAACAAATGATCACCATCCTACAGCTAAATGTTGAGTTGTGAACGCTGACCCTACCAGTGGATCTGCTCAGCACCTGAATCTACTCAGAGGGTGTCAGGGACAGCTGGGGACTGATTGCCTGGATGGTGATGATGAGAAGTTGCATGTGTGTGTCTGTGTGTGTGCACACATGTACATGCATGCACACATGCACATCCACGCACATGCAAATCCCTGCATCCTTTTTCTCCTCTGCATTTGGCAGAAGCATAAGATTCTTCTTTTTCTATCTCATGTCCAGGATGGTGAGGACTCTACTCTGCAGTGTCTTTTTTTTTTTTTTTTTTCGGTACGCGGACCCCTCACTGTTGTGGCCTCTCCCGTCGCGGAGCACAGGCTCCGGACGCGCAGGCTCAGCGGCCATGGCTCACGGGCCCAGCTGCTCCACGGCATGTGGGATCTTCCCGGACCAGGGCACGAACCCGTGTCCCCTGCATTGGCAGGCAGACTCTCAACCGCTGCGCCACCAGGGAAGCCCTGCAGTGTCTTTATATCTCTAATAAGAATCAAAAGTTGAATTAGAAATCATGCCTAACACCTACCATTTCCTGTACCCCAGGTGCTTTAGCAGTCCTCACCTATGAGGTAAGCACTGTTATTATTCCCACTTTAGATGGAGGAAGTCTGGGCTCTGAGAAGTAAAGGAAGTTACTTGAAGTTATACAGCTGGTAAGGACTGGAGTCATAATCCAGGACAGCAGAGCCCCAGCACACCTGCCCTGGACTGGATGTGAGTAACAGTAAACCTCTATCTGACTCATGGATATTCTGGAAGTCTAATTGGTTTCCCCTAGCCTACCCTAGCTAATTCATCTCGCAACCCAAGAAGCCAAGTTTAGAAGGATATGGTCTCCAGTTTAGTGACAAAAAGACTGAGGTGCACTTGTAGGAATCGCAGACACTGCCCAGGCATCAAGCTCATTCCAGAGAGTAGAAAGGGAGCTGCAGCATTCCCACCCATCTGTACCTACCCACCCCCCCCCTCCTCGGCCCTGGCTGTGAATGTAAACTTCAAGGGAACCACCACACCACATGCCCAGTGCCTAGAACATAGTAGGGTTGAAGCACTACATGTTGCATGAAAGGACAGATAAATGAAAACAAACACACACAACATGTACAATCTATGCACCCTTATACATACATAGTTATAGGCAAAGGTGCCCAATGCATAAGTGCTCAAAACACTCAGTTATAGACAAGCATATACAAAACAGATACATAAACACACACACTCATACACAAAACACACCCATGTCCACATTCACAAATCCAAATCCAAAACATGCATATGTATACACAGATATCATGGGCAAGCATATATGATCCAGATATGCACAAACACACATCTACTCACCCCAGCGATGCCCAGACATCCTCCACCAAGACCCTGGGCCCAAGGAAGGAATCTGTCTGCTCCATGAGCCTTAGCATGTTGGAGCTTGTCAGAAAGTTCTTTGCAGCCCCCACTTAGCTGGCTGGTGACTGGCCCCTGGCTCCTGGACCTCCGGGTTTGGGGCCGGCCAGGCAGGAGGCAGCATCTCCGGCAGCCCCGCGTGGGTGGGCGGGCAGGCAACGGACGCAGAGGTCACTGGGGTGAGAGCTGGGGCTGCCCTGGCCTCTCTTTTCCTGGCTGGAATGTGAGATATAGGGGCCACCTCTCAGGCCTCCCTCCTCTCCCCCAGCCGCCCACCAGCCCCAGGCCCAGGCCAACCCATGACCCCAAATCCTGCCAGGTTCTCGTAGCCAGGAAGTGTGCGCGGAGGGTGGTGGTGGTGATGAACGCTCGAGGACCGTGGGAGGCATACACAAATAACACAGAGATGCACAGTCACACACAGAAGCTGGCCCGGATACTCACCCATGAAGACACACACACAAAGACACAGGCAGGCATACAAGTTCACAATCCCACTGAAATGCACATTCAGACACACTTCCAAACACAGAAGAAAAACCAGGCACATACATACACACACACACACAATCACACAGGCATACGGAGATACCAAGAGACCAGACGGCCACAAAGCGACACAGCAGATGCACACAGACACTCAGACCACACAGAGACTGACAGCACACGTGGATCTCCACAACTGCATGCAAATGCCCACACACAGGCACAGAGACACGCACACACAGACCCCTTCTGGCAGACCCCTGCTATGTCGGAGCACTTCCTCCTCCTCCCAGGACCAGGAGGAAATGCTGCACTAGTAGGCCACTCTCCAAGCCACATGTGGCCGGCTTGCAGGCAGGGCCTGGAAAACTGCTTGCCACAAGAGGAAATAGTGCTGAAGCCCCAGCCAGGTGCCTGCCGTCTGAGTGCCTGGCCAGGAGGATGGTGCATGGGCTGAAGAGACAGCCACATGGCATGGGTTTTGTCTCTGTATGTTAAACACACAAACACACACACACACACACACACGCGCGCACACACACACACACTTTTCAGGAGTACATATGTATGTACAACGTATACAGGGAGGGGCACTCTTGGAACCTCAGTTTCTTCATCTATAGAATAGGGTTGATAATTCTTTCACCCTTGAGGATTATGGGGATGGCATAAGGTGGCACTGTGAAGTACCAGAGCAAATCACTGCCTTCCTGGGGGTCTGGAGCTGCATCTCTGCAGAGGCCTAATGTCAGGAGCCTTGTTCGCAGGCGTTGGGCTCCACACCTGGCTGCCCCCGCCCAAGGTGGCCGGCCTGGAAGAGCCAGAGCCAAGCTGGGGGCCCCTCTCCTGGGCCAGCACTGGGTGCTGCCTGGCTCAGCCGGCGCCCCGGGCAGCAGGCTCCGAGCGCCCCGGGAGAAGCTGCGGGCTGGGCTCCGCCGGGCGGTGAAGCCCGCGTCTGGAGGGCCCCTTCCACGCACTGCCGCCCGAGCTCGCTCAGGTCCGCGCCGCCCGCCCGGCCTCTGGCCCCGCTCGGCGCCCGGCCGCTCCCTAGGACTCGGGTCTGGAGCCTCGTCGGCGGTGGGCGGGGCGGGCCTGCAGCCCCGCCCCCACTCGCGGGCCCTGAAACCCAGCGGCCGACAAGCTTCAGTCCCAGAAGGGAGCTGCTGTCTGAGGAAGAAACTGCATCTTCACTCGCCAGCCACGAGAGGACCTGGGGTCGCGCCGGGCGCCCGACGGACCCTCCTCAGGGACCCGCCTGCCCCACACCGACCGGCCCTGCCGGGCCCTCCGCACCAGGTGCCCCAGCCGCAGCCTTACCTGCGGGCTCCAGAATCCCCAGGGCTTCTAGAGGATGCTCGGGCCACCGACAGGGACCTCGGGGCAGCAGTGAGGGGGGGCACCCAGCCCCCCATTCAGCTCCTGTCCTTCTGTGCCAGGGGCTCCCCCGGGGTACGAGCATGGTGGTTTTCCCTTGGAGCCCCCTGGCTTGGTACGTCTGAGAAGATGCCTGCCATGAGGCTGTTCACTTGCTTCCTGCAGCTCCTGGCTGGGCTGGCCCTGCCTGCTGTGCCCCCCCAGGTAAGATCCCCACCCCCCAGCCTGGCTTCCCTGATCTTCCCACCCCCAGCACTGGGAACAGGGGGCTCTGAAATCACAGACCCACTCCCGGGAGCAGCACCTCCAAGGATGTCCACACACTTCCCACGAGCCAGGCTGGACCACGTCGTCTGGGAGGAGTCCGCAGGCTGGGCTGTCCCAGACCTCAGCTCCGGGGTCTGTCTTGGCGGGGGCAGGGAAGCCACAGGGAAGGGAGGGAGGTTTCCTGTCTGGCCCCTGGAGCCCTGGTGGCTTTGCTAAAAGCATCTCTCCACTAATCCCAGGCGGGTCCCTGGCCTTGTGGTCAGGGTCGAGGCCCTGTGACCAGGCAGGCACCCCCAGGACCTCTGACCTGGCCTGGTGGGGGGAAAGCCGGCTGAAAAGACTACTGGTGGGGAGGCTGGGCCCTACCCCCCACCAAGGCTCCAGGCTGAGCCCAGGGCTCCTGGGTGGGCTGGGGGCAAGACAAGGGTCCCACTGTGCCCTCTCTCCCGGATGGGCAGCTGGAGGTCCTGAGTGCAGGGCCTGGGGAAGTGAGCAGGGCCCTTTTCCCAGGAGCTGGGTGAGTCTGGCTGTGAGCCAGCTTGGGCAGCGAAATCCTGACAAAGCCAATGAGCTCCCTTCCCACTGCGCTGTCCCACTGCCCTGGGAGTCCCGAGCCCCAGCCCAGAAGTGGGTGGGCTGGGCAGTTCCACGGGGCGGAAGGGCCATACCACCCGCCGCCCGCTTGCCTGCTGCAGGGCTGGTCAGAGGTGTCACTTTACCGGCAGCACCGGCTCCTGGCGCCACCCGCTCCAGCGCCTCGGCTCTCACCAGCTGATCGCCTCCCCCTGGGCTCTGGCACCCAGCCAAGGCGAGCTGCACAGGGCCCAGCAGGGCTGCCTGGGGGCTGGGTAGAAGGGAGACCCCAAAGGATCGCCAGATCTTTGGGACAGAGCAGGCAAAGGGTCTCCAAAAGCTTCCAGCCTCCCACCCTTTCTAAATGAGGAAACTGAGGCCAGAGAGGGGGTGGGACCCATGGGACCCACCCAGGGTCCCTTGAGTTTTTCTCGTTGCACCTGGAAGGAGCCATCTGTGAGACAGGGCAGAGCGTGTGCAGCGGGTGGGAAGGAGCTCAGAGTCAGAGGGGCCTCTATGATCTTACCGACACACTGGGCCCCAGAGCGCAGAGGCCCAAGGTGGTCCCCCTCATCTCTGCACCTTTCTGTCCACAGCAGTGGGCCTTGTCTGCTGCGAACGGCTCGTCAGAGGTGGAAGGTAAGCTGCCTGGGCCCAGGGGGTGGGGGCGGGGCTGGAGGGGCGGGTGCACAGCTCTCCAAGTCCTCACCTCCTGGGCCTCTGCAGAGGATGGGAAGGGTGGGTGCAGGCTGATACTGAGCTGGGGAGAGTCTGCAAGCTGGCTGACGCCCTGGCCGACAGAGTTGGCAGGGCCTGAGAGATCCCCCCATTGTGACCCAGAGGCCTAGAGAGGTGTCTTCCTGGGCCAGGGTCACCCGTCGCACAGAGAACAGGGCTGGGGCCCGTTTACCCAGGATTCGTCAGGTTGGGGTTCATCAGAGCCCCTTCCCAGCATGATGTAAGGGGGGCAGATGGGGTCTTGGAGGGCAGTGCAGGCAATGAGTGCCAAGGGCCAGGCTGGGGGTCTATGAGCTGGATGCAGTGGTCCAGCAGTCAAGAGGACCAGGGAGGGGCAAGAGGACCTTCCCAGCAGCCAGCCCTGGAGGAGCTTCAGGGACCTGACGAGGCCTTTCCATTGATTACAAACAGACAGAATGAGTTGTGCCTTCCCTGGCCCCTCCACTCCCCACCCAGGGTTGCATCAAGAGGGAATCTTCAAAGGGTGAGACAATTTGCCAAAGAGACATACGTGCAGAAGGCAGGAGGCCCATGCCAGGCCCCCTGCCTTGCCCCTCCCTCCCTGCCTCTCCAAGACGTGCAGCCAGGCCACACACCACTTCCCACGGAAGAAAGGGAGCATGTAGGGACGTGCACATGCACACGCGTGGTGACCTCTGTGAGCTGGGAACACCCTCCCTCTACTGCCTGGTAGCCAGCCTCTCCTGGGCCTGGCCATGCTCTGACGGCTGAGTCCCAGGCCCCTTGGGCACTGAGAAGGTGGGGGTGGTAGCAGACGTTGATTTCATTGATATCCTCTCCCTCCCCCTGCTTGCCCTCTGGGATTGGCACAATATATTCTCTCTGGGATTTGGAGAGAGACCCATCACCTACCTCCACCCCATGGCCTTTTTGATGCTTTTAGTATATTTCAGATAACAGCTATCAAAGAAGTCTGAGCCTCAGTTTCATCATCTATAAAATGGGAGCATTAAACTACATGATATCTAAGGTTCTTTTTCTCAGATTGTAGGATTCTCTGACTCCACGGAGGAGACACAGGAGTATATATCTCCCAGGGACCCGAGTGAGGAGGGACCCGGGAAGTGTCGATCCATTAGGACAGCTCACCTGTCATCCTGATCAATTAGGGAGCCTGTATCATGACCAGGGAAAGAGCTTTGGACCCCAGTTATCAAAATCCTGAAAATGCCATCCCCTCCTAACACCAGACAAGAGACAGAATGGTCTGTGCTTTGCAGCCACAGACGTTGATTTTTTACAATTACTATTCATGGTAATATTATCAGGCATTTACTATAACTCTGCCACAAGCTGTGAACTAGGAAGGCACTCGTATTCTCCACGTTTTATAGATGAAGGCTCTGAGGCTCACAGAGGCCCTTGGGGTCACCTAAAGCCTTGGACACTCTTCAGTACATGTGACAGAGCTGGAGTGCGTGGCACCGAGCCTCCCCACGGCTCACAGCTGAGCAGGCATTGAGCAGGGTGTCCACTGCCACAGGCTGGGTGTGTGCCCCACCGGTGACCACCAAGAGGATACCTGCTGGGCTCGGGCTGGTGGCCAGTGGCTCTGCCCAGCCCGGTCCCCCCACCCTCCCAGTGCCCCCCCCCAGGAGCTTGCTCTCAGGATGAAACACTTCCCATCTGGGGTCTCCTCTGTCCTGGGTGGTAGGCAGCTGGAGCCAGACGGGAGGCTCACCCAAGGGCTGGCAAGAGAGCCGAGAGCCCACTTTTTGGCTCTGGGAGCAGCCAGGCGCCTGCCTCGGCCACAGCCTCCCATTCCTCTCCCCGCACCCCGGCCTCTGAGCAGGTCTGGGGCCAAAGGAAGTGCCCTCAGGAGCAGCTGAGCAGAGCTCTTTGCTGAGGGGCTCAGCCCACAGCTGGGGGCGGTCATAGCACTCCCTCAGCCAGCCCCTCGCCCAGCCCCCTCTGTTTCTCCCACACACCCAGACAGCAGCCCCAGGAATGAGCTGCCCCCTTTCCTGGTGTCTGCCAGGTAAACCAGGCCCAGCCCACCTCCTTCTCAGCCCTCTCCCAACACCATCCGGCCATGAGGCCCAGAAAGCGGTGGGCTTCAGGGCCCCGGAGACTGGGTCCTGTTGCTGCAGTCTGCATGGTGGGTGAGGGGAAAGGAAATCCCTTCTGCCTCCTAGGCCCTGCGGCTCTGCTTAACCTGGCGGTGGCCCCATGGCCCAGCTGGGTGGAGTTTGCTTGCGGGATGGTAGGGGGACGGGGTGCCCCTTCTCTGCTGCCCTCCCCCTCCCTGATGGCTGGTCCCGGGGCGGGACCCTGAACCTTCTGTGGCACTTTGGCAGCTGGCTATCCCTCTGCTGTTATTTATGTTTTCCAAGGCAGAGATTAAATGTTCAGAGTTGTGTAGTGCTTATGAAGGTTCTAGACTAAACACGCACTCACAGAGTTACAATAGGGAGGTGCTCCTCTGACCTCTCCCTGCAAAGGCTGGCTTCCCTGGGGCTTTGGGCTGACCTGGAGGAGAGGGCCTTGTTTCCCACTTGGGTCCAGGGAGAGTGACCCAGTGGCCTGGAGAGGCAGGATCAGGGAGGTCTCTGGTCTCCCTCCCGTCCCTGGGCCCAGCCCTAGTGCCCCCTAAGCAGACAGGGCAGAATGGAGCAGCAGACGCTCAGATAAGCACAGTTTATTGCTCTGTGGCCGCTTCAGCCAGCTCCACGTGGACACACTGCCTCTTGGGTATTTTCCACCAGCTTGCAGCCTTTCCCGAGGGCCTCTGCTAGGGCTGAAGTTTATTTTTCCTCTGAGATTACCCTGAGACTCACGTCCTCGTAGGCTCAGTAGAATGGACTTCAGCCCCTTCTGCCTACCTACATGGAAGGTAGTGAGGGGCTGCTAGGAGAGGCCATTGCCCTAGGGCAGAGGCTGCAGCGTCCCCAGGTGGCCCAGCTTCCCTGTCCTCCCCCACCAGCTGAGGATGACCACCAGGTACAGGGCAGGATGACCCAGGACTGGAGATGTGTCTCTGCTCACGGTCTCACAGCTGGGCTGGGTTGTGTGCACAGAATCACAGACTGCCTGTCAGATCTGGGAGAGCCCTTAGCAACCATCTATTCCCAAACTTCTTCTTTTTCCTCAGCTGAGGAAACTGATATACCCAGAAAGGTGAAGTGACCGCCCCAAGGTCACACAGCCAGTGTAGGGCCAGGGCTAGAAGCCAGGTCTCCTGGCTCTGGCTACTCACTTCCTGTGAGCCTCTGTTTGGGACCAGGCCCCAGGCCCTCCCCTGAAGGAGCAACGTCTTTTGAGAGACTCCAGATCAGCCCCCAGAAGTTCCTGGTCAAGACCACCAGGACATCGTGGGGGTCAGGGATGTCCCTGATAACCTTCAGCGAACTCTCATCTAATCAATCAGTAATTACTTAGCCTGTGTTTACTGGGTGCTTGGGTCCGTGTCTTCAAGGAGCCTCAACTTGCTTGTAAAAAAGATAAGAGCCACCAGTGACGGAGATAAGGCAAGCCCTTGGGGCTGAGTTATGCTCAAAAAAGGAACATCTGTTCACGCTGGACAAGTAGGAGAAGGCTTCGGAGAGGAGGAAGGGAGGCGGGCCTGGGGAAGTGGGAAGTGGGCTTTATTTGGTTAGAAACGAGAAGGGGGCAAGGAGCATGGACCTCAAGTGGGAATTAGGATGATGTGGCCCCGAGCTCTCACGAGGGTGGCCTGACCGAAATGGAGCACGGGAATGGGGCATGTTGCTGACTGCAGTCTTGGCCACCAGGCAGAGGAGCTGGCCCAGTGTGGGCAGGAAACAAGGACTAAGGGGAAGGCTAACCCTCCCTGTGGGACTCTGCAAGCCAGTCTTGCAGAACTGACTGTTTTCTGCCAATTCCCCAAGACTGAGGAAGCACCAGGTCAGGGCTAAGAAAGATCCAGAGGGCCTGGGGAGCTGCCAGAGCACGCTCCTCGAAGCTTCAAGGCACCGAGGCAGATGCGGGCCCCTGAGTTGAGAATAGAGCTGAGAGCTCAAGACACTGAGAAATTGCGTTCCACTGGGATTTCCATCCGGCAGACGAGCTGGAGGTCCAGCTGTCATCCCAGAGGGATCACATCAGGAGTTCAGAGCCGGGGGAGCTCACATAGGCTGGGGGCTTCCTGGAGGAGGGAGTGTGGGCTGAACCTGGGAGGACCCGCAGGGCCTGGGCTTCAAGGAGCAGGCCCCTCCTGGCCTGACGCAGCTGTCTGTGCCTCCTCGCAGTGGTGCCCTTCCAGGAAGTGTGGGGCCGTAGCTACTGCCGGGCCCTGGAGAGGCTGGTGGACATCGTGTCTGAATACCCCGGCGAGGTTGAGCACATGTTCAGCCCGTCCTGCGTCTCCCTGCTGCGCTGCACGGGCTGCTGTGGTGATGAGAACCTGCACTGTGTTCCAGTGGAGACGGTCAATGTCACCATGCAGGTAAGCAGGCTCTCCTCCTCGTGTCCGGGCCTGCACCTCTGTCCGCATGCTGCTCAGAGGACCACAGAACCTGCCCCCGAGGGGGCCCGGGAGGGAAGGAGGGCAGGCCAGGATCACAGGACTGGGACTTATGCCCAGGCCTATCCTCTTACCACAGTGCCCCTCCTTCCTGAACCCCTGCCCCAGCTTTGAGCCCCCTCACCTCCTCCCTTACCAGCTTTCTCAGCCTCTGGCTTAGCCCTGCCCCAGGACCTAGCATATCTGGTTGAGGTTGGAAAAGAAATCTGTTCGGATTCAAGATGTCCCTGTTTATACCAGGGACATTTGGCATTTCATGTCCTGAGCCTTCTTACACACTCACACCTACAGTGGTTTTTTGAGCACTAGTTGAATAATGCCAAGCACTATGCTAGGTGCTTCAGAAGTGTTACCTCAACATTCGATCCTTGGAGCCAAGTGATATTCCCATTTCACAGATGAGGAACCTGAGGTTCAGAGATGTTATTTCACTTGCTCAGCAGGTGGAAGAGCCAAGCTTTGAACATAGGTCTCGCTGCCTCCAGAGCAGGGGCCCCCTTCCTACACTATTGCTATGCTGGTGGCCCTGGGACGGGAGGGACAGGGGCCTCCCTCAGCTCCACATGCAGGCGGGAGGGCTATTTGCCCCACACTCAAAGCGAAATGAGGGTGTGGGAAAGGCTGGTGGGAAATAGGGAACCTGGTCCTCATGCAAGGGGAGGCTGGAGGGAGTATTGGAAACCCCAGGCCACCCCCAATCCAGTCACCCAACCTTCCTCTCCCCTCAGCTCCTGAAGATCCGCTCTGGGGACCGGCCCTCCTACGTGGAGCTGACGTTCTCTCAGCATGTGCGCTGCGAGTGCAGGTGGGTCCTCGGGTGTGGCAGGGGCAGCCCCCACGAGCCTGGCAGCTTCAGCCAGGGGCTGCCCCTCCCTGCTTCCTGGTTGAGGGAGGCCAGGGAAATCGGCGACCAGTGGCAGCTGCTTGTGTCTCCCCATCAGCCGGTTTTGCCCAGGGAGCTGGACCATAGCTGCTGAGAAACCACAGGGATGGAGGGAGCCAGGGTCCCTCCCAAACTTGCCAGGCTCAGGGCACGCCATCTCCCTCCTCAAGCTGGGAGGCAGCTGCCACGGCCCTGGAAGAAGTGACTGGACTTAGTTCTAGGCCAGGCTGGTGCCCACGGGAGGGGTCAACTGGCTGAGGCGCGCAGAGACGGACAAGCCCTGGTGGGAGGGAAGGGGCAGAGGGAAGGAGCTTTCTTTAAAGTCGCTCCCCCACCCGGGAGAGCCTGTCACCAGCACATCTTGCTGCTGGTGCCCAGGGTACTCTGAGCATTAGTTACCAGGAGCAGCAGGCCTGGCACTGCCAACCAGGCTCAGGGAAGAGAGAAATGGGCTCAGGTGCTCTCCTGGTACCCCTGGGCCATGGGTGGAGACACCAGACAAGAGGTCCTGAGCCCTATCCTGGGGCAGGAAGAGGGGGAGGACCACCATTTATGGTGCATCTCCTCTGTGCCTCACCACGCATTAGGCACCTGACTGTGTTTTCTCATTTATTCAATAAACATCCATTGAGCACCGACTGTATGCTAGGCACTGTCCCAGCTCCTTGGGATACAGTGGTGAGCAAGAGAGACCAAGTCCCAGCTCACCTAACAACCCTAGGAGATAGGTACCATTGTCGTCCCATTTTACGGATGAAGAAACTGAGGCTTGCTATGGTTACATGATTTGCCACAGCTAGTGAGTGAACCCCAGCCTGTCTAACCCCTAAGCTTGCCCTTTTTCTTGCTACCTCTCGTGGCCGTTACCACACTCTCCAGGAGCCCCAGTACTGCCCTGGGCTTGGTCCTGCCTACTGTCCTGGGCTCTGGCCACCCCTCTTGGATCTGTACCACTGTTAGAGGCCCTGCCCCAATCTGTTTCCCCCTGTCCCCCCTTGCCAGGGCTTGGCCATACAACAGTTCAGTAACAAACCCTCCCGGGCACAGTGCTTGACAGTGACCTTTCACCTTCCACATCACCTTTGCCCTCACAGCCTCTCTGTTGGGGCAGACAGATGAGAAGACTGAGGGTCCAAGAGTGTCTCTGACTGGTCCCAGATGGCAGAGACACGACCAGGCAGTCCCAGGAGGCGCTGGTACCCTGCCTTGGCTCCCAAGGGAGATGGCCAGCCTAAGGAGTCTTCCCTGACCTCAAAGCTTGCTGTCGCCACGCTGGCCCATGCCCCCACTCTGGCTCCCAGGGGAGACTGAGGCCCTGTCCCCTTCCAGAGGGCTGGACAACAGGGCCACCTTTCTTCTCTCTTCTGGGTCAACAGCCACAGCGCCCGGAGGCAGAGCCAGGACAAGCCTGGTGACTGTGGGGCTTTCAATCAGCTCCCCTCACCCCACCCTTCACCCTGGCCCCCTGATGTTGCCTGCACCGTCGCACATCCTCAGGGTGGGGGTTGGCGCGATGTCCACCTGACAGGTGGCCTTGCCCCTCATTCACTGTCAGCGAGGAAACTCCCAGAGGGCACCCTGGAAGGAAGGGCAGGTGCGAGGGAAGGAAGTGAACAGAGGAAGGCAGCAGAGAGCAGACTCATTCCCCAGATTTGATGCCAAGAGGCAGAGGAGAGCAGAGGGTGTGGAGAGGACCCCGAAGAGGGCATTCACACCTCTCTTGGTGGGGTCACCAGAGGCTAGCGTGGGAGTGGAAGCCCCAAGGCCTCTGGGCATCTCTCCCTAACTAGCTCCATGCTACCCCCTAGTGGCTTCAGTGCCAACTACAGGACCAGCGCCAGTGACGTCCGAGGGGGCTTAGCGGGGCCGGGAGCCCCCGCTTACTGCTTTCCTGATTCTCCCCTGCTCCTCTCTGTTTTCCCAGGCCTCTGCGGGAGAAGATGAAGCCAGAAAGGTAAGCAGCCTGGCTGGGGCACCGGGCTGTTCTCAGGCCTGCCAGCCCCTGTCCTAGCATGGGGGCCCCCAGCCACTCTGTCCTGATGCTTTTGGCTTATTACAGGAGGAGACCCAAGGGCAGGGGGAAGAGGAAGAGAGAGAAGCAGAGACACACAGACTGCCACCTGTGAGTGCGCGGGGGGCCCAGGGATGGCAAGGAGGCTGGGCCAGAGGGGAGCCCAACCCTGCCAGCAGGGTCAGTGGTCGGGGAGGGACAAAGCCAGTGGTCGGGGGCCACAACCTAGAGATTCTAGGGCCTAGGAAGCCTCAGGTGAACCAGGACAGGAACCAGGAAGCCTTGCTTCTTGTCCTGGCTTAGCTTTAAGTTTCTGTGTGGCCTTGAGCGGGTCACGTCACCTCTCTGAGCCAAGTTTTTCTCTGTGTGTAGAATGAAGGGCCAGGGGGTCCACCAAGCATTCAGTCGGTCTACATTTACTAAGCACTTACTGTATGCCAGGTACGTCAGTGGGCAAACCAACAAGATTCCTGCTCTTACAGGGCTTACATTCTAGTGCTAAAACGTCCAAAAACTCAGCCAGGGCTACCTCCTGGTGGCCCTGGGGAAGGTGTAGCCCCTCACCGGCTCCCAGACCAATATTTCTTCCACCCTCCCAGGGAGCCTTGGGGTCCACTCGCTTCCCTTTCCCTCTCCATGTTACCTGCCCATTTGGCTTCACATCCGGAGGACTAAGCTGGAGTCCAAGCCTGAGTGTTGGGAGAGCAGGATTAGAGAAGGGAAAACCCAAATCTGTGAGAGTAAAGAGTAAAAATAAAGTATTTCATCATGCACAGTAACTCAGTCACACCACGGTTCTCCTTCAGGGCCTGTCTCCTTCCACCAACAGGACTCAGGAAATCATTTCATGCCATGGGACTGGGGCTGACCAAGTCCTACCCCATGAGCCCAACCCTGCACGAGCGGAGACTTCCACCCCACTCTGTGAAGATAGGGATGCTGGGGAGGATTCTGGGTGGGTCCTCTGCAGGCACATGGCACTAATTTCTCCCCTGGGCCCAAGCAGCGACTGGGGGAGGAGCTGGCAGTGTAGTCAGTGCGGGGCTCCCCAGCTGGGCAGCCCCAGATGGAAAGCGGCCTGTCCTCTATCTGCTAGGGCAGCAGTCTTCAAACGTTTCATTTGGGAATCTCTTGAAAGAAATTCAGAAACTCATGTGCTCCCTTGTTCACTTTTAAGTTGACATTGAACTTTTTCATCAAAATTGTAAATAGTTGCAAAGGATGTAACTTCTGGCCTATCATGAATATTAATATTTTAATATAAAGCCATTATATCACTCTCCAAATGTACCCCGTGGAATAAGCCATCCTAATTTAATACCATCATCCACTCTTAAAAACCTGAACAACATCAACAAAAAAAAAATATATGAACACTCTCCTTTGATAGTTGAATGTTTCCATTGCTTCTTTTTTCCTTGAACTTGTCTTTCCATTTTACTTTCCCCACAGAATTTCAGCCTAATGTAGTATTTTTTTTAATATTCAAATGTCTTTTATGTATCACCTTGTCATATTTATCTGCCACAACAATGATTTGAATTATTTTAAATTTTCTGTGAGCAGAAAACTCGAAATTCAATTTTCTCTTGGAATGAATTATCACAATGATTATTATTAGTAGCAACTGATCAAAACAGCACAAATACATCATATTTTACTAGATGCTAAACGCAAAAGTACGATCAATCTTATTGGGAATGCACCTCAATGAGATGGATGCAGCTAATTCTTTTCAATTAGTTAATGAACTCAGTAACGAATGTTACCTCCTGCCAGACTGAGGCAGGATTCAATAGTAATCCCATTCCTGTGCATCGTTTTCTGTAGATGAAAAGGCTGAAAAACCATGTTCACATGAACAGGTAAATGGGACTGGAAGTCACTCAATCACTTGAACTCCTTCCAAGTTGTTTGCCAAAAACCTCAAGGTGATCTGCTACAAAAATTACTTCTCATGACAGATTAACTGACAATTCGGTTAAGCTGTTCTTCAATTTTGTTGAAAGCAGACTTGGAAACCACCCCACTTGCAAAACACTTGCTTACCCAGTCAGTCACCATATTTCCTTTCTCAAAGCCTACAACAATGTCTCAGATGGTTATTTTATTCACTGTCCCCTCGAATCCTTTTTACCTTGGGGAAAAGTACTGTAACAGGATTTAGAATGGACAGGATGCTTCCTTCCTTCCTAAGGGAGAAGGGCAACTGGGAACAAGATGGTGGGAAGCAGACCTCAGGTGGAGAAGATGGGGGAAGCGGACCTCTCACGCAGACAGTTTTCAGGCAGAGTACATGGGAAGGCTGAAAACGAATTTCTTTAAAACCATCAGTACATACACCTTGGACAATCTTCATGTACACCTAGGGGTTCCCATATCCTCGTTTGAAGACTGCTGTCCCAGAGTAAGCAAAGGCATTGGTGCATGGAGCCAAATTGCATTCAAAGTAGACTTCGTCTCTGACTAGCTGTGTGACCTTGGGCAAGTTTCATAACCTCTCTGAGCCTCAGTTTCCTCATCTGCAAAAGGATGATAGTGCCTTACTCATGGGGTATTTTTAAGGGTAAACGAGAGAGTGCTTAGCGTGGGGCTGGGCACCTGGGTGCGTGCTTGGTGAGGGGTAGCTCCTAGATGCTTCTTGGCCTCATGCAAGCAGAGATCCAGGCTTCCCATGCTCCCTGTCCAAGCTTCCCCTCTGGGTTTGTCCCCCCTCCCATAGGAGGGACCCCACCCTCCACACTGGGCTGATACCCCCTTTCTGTGTTTGATCTCTGGCAGGTGCGGTGATACTGTTCCCCGGAGGTAACCAGCCCCTCGGAGGAGAGAGACCCCACACCCAGCTCGTGTATTTATTACCGTCACACTCTCAGTTACCTCCCTGCTGGCACCTGCCCTCTATTTATTAGCCAATTGTATCCCTGCTGAATGACTCACTCCCTCCAAGAGGAGGGGCAGGGAGGGACAGGACCCTCAGGAATTCAGTGCCTTAAACAGAACGTGAGAGAAAGACAGAAGACAGACCCATGTGGCTTCAGCTTGGGAAGAAGCAAGACGTGTGGCTTTGTGAGGGGCAGGCCAGGCCCCAGAGGCTCCGGGGGTCACCAGGGGGCTGGAGAGGGAAGGACTGGAGACCCACCGCCTGCCCCCCGGCCTTGGGCTCTGCATGGACCAGCAGCCCTTGCTGGGGGAGCTCGTGGCCGGGGTGGGAGTGGAGAAGCCTGCTCCCACTGGCCCTGCTGGGAGGGTGAGCAGGCAGCAGCTCTGCACCCTCTTCCTGGCAGCAGCTCTACCCCTGGAGATCAGAACATTCAGCTCTGGAGAACAGTGGTTGCCTGGGGGCCTTGGCCACTCCTTGTCCCCTAGGTCTGGCCTCACATCTTGCCACTGCTTGTGCTGGGACATTGTTCTTTACGGCTAAGGCGTCACCATCCTGCCCCTCCCAGGGACACAGGCAAAGAGCGGCCCCAGACTGGACATGGAGCAAGCTGCCCCCGCGTGGCTGTTTGACCACCAAGCCAGATTCTCTTGAATAAAGTATTTTAGTCTGGAAACAGCTTTCCAGGGGAGTGTGTGGGCCAGAGCAACGGGCAATAGCAGGACATGGAAGCAGGACAGAAGTAAAAGGGACCGTGGGCTCCAGGGCTACCCGGGGGTAGCTCGAGCCTGTTGCTGCAGCTCCCTGGGGCATCTTCTCCCAGGTGCTTTAGGCACAACCCTGAGGCCCACTCCTCCCATAATGAGGGGTTCCCAGGATGGAGGCTTGGCCCCAAACTTGGGAGGCCCTGACCCCAGCCACCCCGATCACCCTCAAATTCAAGAGCACAGTCCCCTTCCTCTCCCCCCCAGGGCCACCCTATACCCAGCCCAGTGCCCGACCCTCTGGACCCTGAGTGAATGGGGGCTCCCAGGCGCCACAGATTGTGGCCCTGGGGGACTGAACTGCACCACCTCCAACCCTCTGGCTGCTGAATGCAGGGATCGGCAGATGCTGCCTGATCTCTTCCTCCTTTGACCTCCTGTCTTCCTGTCTTCCTCCTGAACACCTTGGCATGAAATGAGAAAAAAATGCTTTTTTTTCTCTTTTCAATCCCATACACTTACTCTCTGATTCCCTTCTGCCTTTGACCCACAAGATGTGTTTGTTTTCCTGTTGTGTTTTGGGAAGGGGAGCTCCCTGTTCTCTCTAATTGCAGGCTGCTCAGACAAAGCCACAAGGCCCGGGGGCAGGCGCCCGCCCCAGGCTTTGGAAGGAAGCCATGGACGCTCCAGTGAGGTAGGTGGAGTGGGGAGGCCCTGCTGAGGCCCTTGGTGGTCTGTTCACCGAGGCCTGGGCCCCCCTGGAGGACAGTCTGGTCAGAATGTGCTTCTGGCTGGTGATCACAGAGTAGGGGTGGGCCAGCCCCGGGGGACACGCTTTGCAGAAGAAACGCACTTTCTCTCCAGCTTCTCCACTCTTGGGCTGTACGCATTCCGAGCCGTTGCCTCTGAGGGACTGAGAACTGAGAAGAGCACCCCTCCCCCTTAGGCTCTGATGTGGCCCCAGGGACCCTACCGCAGCCCTTGCAGCATCTCCAAGGCTCTCAGATTCACAAGTCACCCCCATGGAGGTCTGCCTCCCCACCCAGACCAGCCACCTCTGTAGAGAACTAGACAGAGACCAGGGGAGCATCCAGAGGCCAGAAGCAAAAATCTGCATCCGTGGCCAGAGCCTCACAGCAGGAGTCAGTAGGAAAGGAGCTGACTGGTCCACCTGACTACACTGGCCGTCCTTTCAAATCATTTAGGACCTAGAGGGCCCTTTTCCTTTGCTCTTTATATATTTGTGGAGCCCCACCTGTGTACCTGACACTGTCCTAGGCACCAAGGACTCAGTGGGAAATAAAACTCCCAGGACCTGCTCTCATGGATCTTGTATTTAGTGGAGAGACAGACCATAATCGTGGTCCAATAAGGATGTTGGGTGGACTTTATTCTTTTTCAAATTGGAGACTGGACCATAACTTAGGAAAAAGGGGTCTTGAGTATCCCACACTCTAAAACAAAGAAGAAGCAATTTGGGGTTGGACACATCTGCCTACAGGATTTATTAAGAGATGGCTGAAGTAATCCTGCTAGGCTCAAACATCACCCAGCATCCCCTTCCTCAGTCTCCATAAGCGGAGGACCAGGGAGGGGGAAAGGAGAGAGAAGGAGGGGAGGTCACCAGAGACCTGGGTTGCTGGCCCCTTCTCGTCTCCCTGGAGCTGGATTTGTCATTCAGATTAGCCCATGTGCTAGCTGGCTGGGAGTTGGAGGAATGGAGAACTGAATAGTGAGTGACAGAGGATGGGGAGAGGGGACACCTCAGCACCTCCAGCGGGAGTTTCCAGGGGGACATAGGGGAAGGTGAATGGCCATGAGCCTCCTTTCCCGTGTTCTCCCAAGAGGGATACGTGCAGATGAGGGAACCCCAGAGGCTCGAGGCTGTGGACGTAGGGTTGGGACAGTAGCTGAGTGGAGGTGTCAGGTATAGATCTGGAACGGGCACGCAGTAGGGAGCAGTGCGTGGGGTAGCCCTGCAATGTGCAGTGCACCCACGCGAGAGTGGGCATCTAGACGCCCGTCATACGAGGCGCATTCATAGCTGGAGAAGAAATGGCCACAGCTAAGAGAAACTTTCCCCTAATTTCTCCTTCCCGACCCTGTGAAAAAAGAGAAAGGGACTTTGGCGAGGAAAATAGAGAGGAGTACAGGGGCAGACTACGCCTCTCCCCGCTCCCTCGAGCCAAGTCCAGGCCCTGCCCAGGGGAGAGAAAGGGCTTAGTCTTAAATTGGATGGACCAGCCTAGATGGGGCTGGACCTTTAATAAATTAAAGTGACAGGAGGAACATTAGAAGGTCTGCCCAAGATGCTATTAAGAAACAGGAAAAGGAGGATCAACATAGTTAATCTACAAGCAATGATGAGAGAAAGAAACTGGTTTGTTTGTACTCCCACGGTTTGCTCAATAAGCAATCTATACATGTAAACAGAGAAATTAATGAGAAAATGTCTTATTGCCAGAATACGGTTCTGGCATATTAGAGATGGCCCTTCCTTTGAATCTGAGTTGACCTGGGTCTGCTTTGATCAATAGAGTATAGCAGAAGGGACTTTATAATTGTTACAAGTCCTTTAAAGAGCACTGGCAGCTTCTGCCTTGGTCTCTTGGAACCCTGGGCTGCCATGTAAGCAGTCCAACTATTGTGAGGTCACCATGTTGGAAGGAAGCCCAAGCTAGCAATTTAGATATGTATAGATATGTAGGCAGGGGTAGCAGCCAGCTTCCAGTTGCTCCAGCTCCCAGGCATTACAGTCATCTCAGCTGAAGCCCCAGACCCCATAGAGAAGAGAGACATTAGCTGTACCCACTGTCCCCTGTTTGATTTCCTAATCCATAGAATTATGAGATGTAATAAAAACAAAGTGTCTGGGGGCAGTTTGCTATGCAGCAATAGGGGCTGAATGGAAAATAAGGAAAGGTGATGAGATAGTGTTTGGGGAAGGTTCTCTAGACCAGGAGGTCACGGAAGGCCTCTCTGTGGAGGTGACATTTATGGTGAAGTTATGGTCATGTGAAGATCACTCCAAAACAGGACAAGAGCCCTTTGAACAGAAAACACAGCTGATGCAAAAGCCTAGAAGGAATCCCAGTGTGGCTAGAGCATGATGAGTAAGGAAGGAAGGGCCAGGAGATGTGATGTTAGAGGTAGGCAGATCATGAAGGGCTTTGCAGGGTAAGGAGTTTGAATTTTGTTGTAATGTAGAGGGAAACCGTTGGAGGGTTTCAAGCAGGGGAATGAAGTGGCATTATGTACATTTTTGAAAGATCACTGTGCCTTCCATGCAGAGGATGGACTCTAAGGGCACAAGACCAGAGGTACAAATACCACCTAGAAGGCTATAGCAAATCCAGACAACCAATTACGATGGCTTTGTCTAGGAAGAAGCACATGGGATGGAGAGAAGTAGAGTTTGGTCTTAATTATGCATGTGGGCTCGTTACCCCGATCATTCATTCATTCATGAACATTTTTTGAGTCTCCTAGGACCAGGCATTTTGTAGCAGATACATGTGTGAAGGGGCAAAATATGTTAGCACATGAAAGTCTTTCCAGTGTCCCCACTTACTAAAGAAAATCCCATTCTGGAAGAAATAAGGATAAAGAGAGAGGTCTTAGCTGGAAAGACTAAGTTGTCTACCTGAGAACTAAGAGAGAGAAGGCACGATTCTGAGAGAGAAATCAAAGATGCCAGGGCCAGAGCTAGAGAAAGAGCTTGGTGCTCTGTTTGGAGCTTCTGATGCTTCAAGACAGCATGGGGAGCGAAGGAAGGGTTTGGGGAGTGTTGCTACACTGCCCTAACGTTGAAGGCCCTAATGTTCTTAGGCAGAAACCCAACCCAGTGAAACACCTGGATTAGCTAGGATTACACAGAGATAACTAAGACATTGTCCCTGCTCCTAGAAAAACTCGTCAAAGGAATCAGATACGCACAGGTGATCACAACAGAAGGAAAGAAGGTCACATAGCTTCAGCAAAGGCAGATGGAGTGCTACTAAAGAAATCTGAGCTGAGCTGATTTACCCATGGAGAAAATCAGGGCCGGCTTTGCAAAGTCAGTGACATTGAGGAATAGGCAAGCCTGAGTGCGGGGAGATGGCTGGGGAAGGTGTTCTAGGTGGAGGCAACCCACTAACAAAGACCCAGAGGGGCACCCCCTCCCCCAAATCCAGGGTAAAAGCCAGGGCTTTTCCAGTGGTTCAGCGTGACTGATACTTAAGGCAGGTGCAGCAGAGGAGTGATGGATAAGGCCAGAAGGTGGGCTGGGCCCCAGGCGCCATCCTGGGGGTCAGGACTTTGCGAAGCAGCGGGAGGCACGGAAGTGTTTTAGGCAGGAGGGTGACTGTGATCTTGGAATTCCAGGCTGAAAGAAAATTTACAAATAATCCATTTCCATATCCTCATTTTGCAAATGAAGAAGCTGAGGGCCAGGTGCGTCCAAAGCCGTGGAAGTTAAGTGAGTCAGAATTTCACAATTGACCAGTAAGTGACAGGAATGGAATTGAATCCAGATCTGAATACAAAATCCGTGCTCTCTACCCCTCACCGCATCATCTCTTCTCAGGATGGAGCGCAGAGGACAGGAGGGGAGGAGAACTGTGTCTGCTCCAAACCTAAGAAGCAGGCCAGACATCTGCGTGGTGGGTCCACAGAACGGGCCCCTCTGCACACGCTGGTGGGAAACCAAGGCTCCAGACAGGGCGGTGACAGGACAGAGCCTTGCTGTGGAAAGACGGCTCTGTCAGCACCGGAGCCCGGCAGCTGTTTTCCTAGAGAAGGCCGACCCTTCCTTTTCCTGAGGGAAGCCTGGAGTGTACTCTCCCTACCCCGACGCTGGCTGTGACTGAGGCAGATGAGGGCCTGGTCCCTGCTAGCCATCTGTGGATCCCACCTCACAGGCCATGGGGCTCCAGGCCAAAAA